TTCTGTCTTCCAGTTATTACTTTATTGCCCAAATAAATAATTATTTACCTACTTTTTAAATTATAACATCTGAGAATATTTTTGAACTGCAGTCTATTTATTTGGATCTTTATTATAGTTATGCATTTAATTCCCCATAGATAAAATACACTCTGTCCTTGCTCTAATGTTATCTTAGGCAAATAAGTTTACCACCATACCATATTCTGTTTATTTTTGTATGCTGTATGGAAAATACTGTGCATACTGAGATAAGTTTAGAACCTTCAATTACTGTCTAAATAATATTATTATCAGTACAGCTGCATACCTGAATGATAAATATATATATATATATATAGATATAGGGTTTAATGATAAAAGTATTACTGACATTGGATCAGAAACCATAGAAATACAGAATGTTTTCATTTAATACTTTCCTATAAAAAGTTTGTAATGTTTTGTTAAAATCTAGTTTTACTCATAGCAAAAAACGTTGTTTGTCTAATGGGGTAGCTCTGTGACTTTGGAGTTTACAGTCACCGTGCTAACAGTGCAGCCAAAAGATAAGGGGAAGGAAAATCCTGGTGGTGCATAAAGGAAGGGGCCATGTCCTTTGAAGAAAGAGATATTGTTTCCTCTGGGAAGAAAGGAAAAGCTTTCTGCATGATTGCTTTTTTAATTAGCTTTTCAGAATTATGTAAAAGAATGAAATCTTCACTTCAAAAATTAGCACTGAGATTTACAAAATAAATGGGCTTTAATGAGAGATCTGAATTATGAGAGCATCACTGTTGCATATACATCTTGACTGTATGTGTACATGCTTGTTTTCCTTAAGGATAAGGTGCACAGAAAAAAACACCCTAGGAATAACAGAGAATGAGTATGATATATGTTTCTGTATTTAAATGTAGCAGTTTAATTTTGGATATTTTGGATTATAGCAACAAGAGATGCACAGAAAGACATTTTAACTTGAGGAAGAGTGTGGATAAGTGTAGAGATGGAAGCAGGTGATTTTAAAAAGTACTTTGTTCTCCACAACAGGTTTGGATAGCAGCCTTAATAGAGAGGTGGAAATACGGAGATGTGTCACCAAAGCATGAAGTTTCACTGGCAGAATAGATGCTGGATTGACTGTAGTGATGAAGATAGGGGGTGCTTTAGGAGGAGAGATGAGATTTCTGTTTCACTTAGGAAAAACAATTTGGAAGTTATCTGAATTTCCTTTAGAAGCCATGTAATCTGATGTAGCTAAATAGAAATGGTGTAATGGGAAGACATTTTTAGTTTCCTACTGGCGCTTCAGAATTCAGTTTTAAGCTTAACCAGTTCCTTTCTTTAATGAATACAATTTCAATACAGTTGCTTTTAAATATCTTATTTGTAATAATCCAAAGAAAAAATTTATCTTTATGCCTTTGCTGGGGAGAGGAAAGGGGGGAACCTACAGTGAAATTCCCTGGCAAATACTGAAATTGGGAATTCTTTCTTTGGGGTGTTTTATAAAAATTAAATTAATTATTTCCAGGATTTAAACTAGCATCATGAGAATACCGTCATCCTCAGTATCTAAGACAACATTTGTAAATCTTTGGAAAGAGATGACCCACGAGAGAATCGTGCCTGTAAAACAAATTGCAGGCAGCTTGCTGCTTCCACTGCCTGTGGAGGATGATCTTTCAGTAGAGTAACTGTCATTTCTCACAGAATCCCAGAATGGCTGAGGTTGGAAGGGACCTCTAGAGATCTAGTCCAACCCCCCTGCTCCAGCAGGGACACCTAGAGCACGTGGCACAGGGTGGCATCCAGGCGGGTTTGGAAGATCTCCAGAGAAGGAGACTCCACAACCTCTCTGGGCAGCCTGTGCCAGGGCTCTGTCACCCTCACAGGAAAGAGATTATTCCTCACATGGAGATGGAACTGCCTGTGTTTCAATTTGTACCCACGACCCCTTGTCCTGTCACTGGCCACCATGAGGAAGACCTCGGCCCCATCCCCCCTACATTCCCCCCTCAGGTATTTATACATATTGATCAGGTCTCCTCTCAGTCTTCTCCAGGCTAAACAGGCCCAGCTCGCTTAGACCTTCAAAGACTTTCATTTTTCCTTGTTTCTATTTCAGTGAAGACATAAAATGTAAAAGAGGAGGCTGTTGCAGACTAAGTGTAAGTTTGGGACCAAATTAACTTCATTTTAATGGGGAACAGAAAGGATTGGCTGTAGCAAAAGGTCAGGAAGTAAATTGCTTACAAGGATGCTTGGAGTCTTGGCCTCATCCTTAGTGTCCTCTAATCCTAGAGGAAAATATGGTATTAAACTTACTGCGGCATTTTTAGAGAGAAGTTACAGATAAATGAAGCTGTGAGGACTTTGCGCTTTGGTCTGGCCCGTTCAGGTGAAGGGGGAGCTCATGGAGGAACTTTGCATTCCTACGCGAGATAGGGATGCTTATGCAAGTCTCAAAGTCCCTTCAGGAAAATAGCATCAAGTTTAGCTGCTAAAAGAGTTGAAAGGTGGGACATACATTTCCTTATGCTATTTAAATGCTATGCCACCTGGGAATTTTGTTCTTAGAGGAATGGTTTTCCTACATCAGGTGCAGTCATATATGGACATTCGTGTTCCCAGTCTGCGAGTTTAGGTGGGAATTGTGGATTCTCAGGGTGAGTCTCAAGACTAAACGAGTTAAGAACAGATTCAAGTCATATTGAGTTGCTGTGATCAGTTCTCAGTTTTATCATCTGATTGAATAGTTTTGGGAAGCCTCTGTAGGTGTTTTGGTGGAATAGTTTCCTTATAGGATGTTCCTTGTGAGCTTTTAAAAAAAAAAAAAAAAAAAAAAAAAAAGCTCAATTTATAGAGTGTTTGAGTTCGTGTGTGTGGGTGTTTTTAATGATTTGTACTTTGGATTTTGCTAGTTATTATTGAGGTGCTGGTAATAGGTGTGTGTTGTTTTCCCCCCTCTGCCCAAACTGCAGGTATATGCAAAAGTAAGAAAACTCGAAAAGTCACTATGGAACAGTCAAAACCTACAAGTTTGGAGCAGGTCCCAGAGGAACTGTCAGATCCCTTGCCCTCTGTAGTTGTTGACCACGACAGATTAAAGGTAAAAAATAAATAGTCAACTGTTAAGAGCCCGTGAAAAATGCTTTTCTATTAAGAAGCTTTTTGCAATCAAAAAATTTTAAAAAGCTGTTTTGGCTGCAGTAGTTTTTCATTATTATTTGTTGATCAGTGTGTGTTTGAGAAAAAAATGTTACAATTACTGAATCCTTATTGTCCCAACAATACTATGATCTTTACAAATACATTAATGGCACAGCAGTCCACTGTTCTAATTGTGGTTTATGTAGATACCCTTATGTGTTAATTGGACATGACAGTTGCTGAGAAACTGCTGAGTGCCTGGTAATTAGCAGTTATCATCATCTTCTCTCTCCCATGTACAAGCACTCGTTAAAATGAACTGTTGGTGAATTGGAAAGCAAACTGGAAGTTGTCTGGATGTTTTGGGGTCATAGGTTGAACCCCCTGCCACCTAATTTTGTTTCACTTTTATCTCTGAACAAAGATAGAATGAATTTGCTGTATTCTGTCATAGAAACTAGCTTGTTTTATTATAAAATTTAGATCTAATTTACTGGAAAATGCCTATAATCTCGTTTGGAAGCAACAAATATTGTGATAGGAAGAAATGTTTCATATTAGCATGAGGTTTAAGACAAGAAAAAAAAATGTGTTGGTAAAGTAAGTAAAAGGAAATGTTGTGGTACCTTGGATCAACATGGAAGCAGTTACCTGACAGCAGTAGTCCATGTCCTTTGTATCCCTCTAAAATCGGATTTTAGAAGTTGGTAAAATTTCTGATTTTTTCCTTAAAGAATAATAAAAGCAGTTACAAAATAATCTTCGTAACTTTATCCCATGTTTTTGTTCCCACAGAAACTTCTTGACTTGGTGGTCAAGAAAAGTAACAACCTGAGTGTTGACCAACTTGAGAGATTGTATTCGCTCCTCAGTCAGTGCATCTACAGACATCGTAGAGATTATGACAAATCACGACTTATAGAGGTGATGCACTACAACTTCCTTATTTGTTACATTAATTTTGTGAAACGGATTAGAATTGTTTTTCAAGAACTGTGTTAATTGGCAGAATTCTTAGTGTATTAGCAGGCAGAAGCTTTAAATAGACTTTGAGAAAAGATACTACAGATGTTAGGAACTGCTGATATTAGGAACAACTGCTGCTTTTCCCTTTGGCTTAACTAAGCAAAAAAAAAAAAAAACCTGCTTGGTCTTGGAAAAGTCTTTAGTTGCAAGACATACATTTATGTGCATTGCTGTCGTCCTGTTTGCATTTCCAAGGTCTCCTGTCTGCATCACCAGCAAGTCGTTTCAGCACTGGTTTGGGCTGATAATAGCTCTGGACGTGCATTCCCCCCAGCATCTCTGCTCTAGCTGTACTCTGGATCAGTTTTATTGATCCTACCAATAGCCAACTCTGGAAAAGCAGCATCCATTGGCATTTTTAGTTGGATCACTAGATGCTAACAGTTTTTCTGTATGAATATTTTAATACAGAATCTGAAGGACCTTTTAATGGGTTTGTATTTTTGAAATTTTCCAAGTTCTGCACAATATTTTTCAAAACATTTTCATCCTTTTCCTTGCCAGCCTCATCTAAAATATGTTGAAAATATTAAAAACCTCTGCCAAATGTAGATAATTAAGACTTTAGTCTAGCAGGCGTGCACAGGACTGATCTTTACCTGTAATTCTCCAAAATGTGCAGGTATTTGTTTACAGATGGGTCACCCGTAGCATATGTGTGCAGTAAGACTTGAATTCATGTAGAGTGTCATTGCAATGCTTTCTTAATACGGATTGAGTGCATTAATTATAAAAGTGACCTTAATACCCTTCCATTTTTTCGTGGACTGTCATGTTGGAGCACTGTTCGGCATTAATACTTGTTTAATTAGTTTCTTCTTTTAGCATATTTTGCTAGCAGATGGCAACCAATAAACAGAAATGTCTATTTTCCTTTGAGTTATTTGTTCAGATTTCCCCCCAGAATCAGAGTAAATATGATTTCCTAACGTAACATTTATGTCTTTATATATTTGTGTATAACTGCTGCTCTGTCTCTCTTGCAGGAGATGGAAAGAACAGTTCATGTGTTTGAAACATTCCTGTGAACTCGTCAAGATGGGTGGGTTTATCCTCTCTCAAACTGCTCATGGGAGAGCAGTCCTCTGAGCCATTCAGTTCCCATTTGCACCAAGTATGTGCAGAGCCTTGGTCTTAAGTGCTCTCTCTTTTTCTTTCTGTTGAATTTGGTGCTATTGTCTCAGGTACCTGAAACCAACCAGCCTACAAGAACCAAACGGAACTTCATATAGTTGTATCTGGTATAAATAAAGAATACAATGCCACAGCTTGGAGATTTTTGGTGCTACACAGAAACTGTCCTCATTTCTGCTCTTGTTTGCTCTTCGTGTGTTATCTTTTGGGAAACTTCGGGCAAAGTGGAGACCAACACGAGAGAACTGGAAAGAGCAGATCTAAGTTGAATATTTTTGAACAGGCAATTTTTTTTAATTTTCTTTCCAGTTTTTCTCTGGGGTTATGGACAAAAAAATGTTCTAAACATGAGTGATGCATTGTGGTAGGAACCTTGAGTAACTGGATGTACAATAATTTGAAGATGAGGCTTTCTAGAACTGCCTTTAATGTGCCTTTTAGTCATTTGAGAAAGATAAGGCTAATCATTTGGTTTGGATTATAGCAAATGGCAATGTTAGAAAGCTGTCTTCAGAATGAAGATCCCCAAAAGGATGATTTGTGTTCTCTTCACTGGATGGCAACCAGTATTATGGTTATATAAGGCCTGTCTTACTCTACAGAACTAAACTAAGACACCCTGAAAAAGCCACATACTTTACCAAAATGGTGAAATTCTTTTATTTCATTGGTATGTGTTTGTTTTAGAAACAAGTTACACAGTGAAACTCTTCTGTGTTGCGAAAATGAAGCCTTTTCCCATCACTCAATTTGTCGTCCATTATGAGTTCTTCAGTGGGGGAAAAAAAAGGAAGTTTGCTACTGGCAGGTTTCTTTCTAAAGTTTCATGTTCATAGTCTAGCTTGGACTGTGCAATGCAAGTGAGAAGCTGCTCGAGTGGGGCAAAATCCTGGAGCCCAAGCTCACTTGAAAACACAACTTGCACGAGGCTTCGCAACGCAGTCCGTGCACAGCATGGCTAACGTGGCAGGGACTGGAAGACACTTCTGAATCGATCCGTTCAGATCCCAGCGGGGCTGAACACTGTAGTTCAGACCTCTCCTTTCTGGGAACTGGGGAGAACGCGGTCTAGGCAGTCTCAAGAACAAGACCCGTCGCAGTAAGCTTCAGCACAAACTCAATGTTGACACGTGCCCTAGGCTGATCCTTTGGGTGGTTTTTCTTTCTTTTTTTTTTTTTTTTTCAGTCTTAGTGGAAGATGTTGTAGAAAGTTGCCTGGTGTTACCATCTTGAACCATTCATTGTAACTGTCCCTATGTAGCTGCGGAAACGGCCTTCCAAAAATATGCAACACAGCGTGATTGGGTTTTAATTGGAGCAGACAGGCTTGGACTACTGCAGAGATACTGCGCTACCTCAGCTTTTTGTATTTCAGTTACCAACAGTGTTCATGGAGGACTTGGAATCACTCTGCTCCCCCTTGCAAGCTGAAGCTAAGGTACTTGTCTCCACCTCGATATAGTCGTATGCTGCTGCAGAGACACATCCACGGGCCTTGGGCTACTGCAGTAATCCAAAGTGCTTTGTATTTATGTTGGAAACATAACTCTCCCCTTGATCCTGTCTCCTGAATGCCACTTTTTTTCTTTATCCCTAATGACAGAAAAAGGTTTCAAGTGTTCATGTACATCTAGTTACACCTTCTAAATGCAACCCGTGCAGAAACGCTGTATTTTTTAGGTGGGAAAGTGCGATTAAAACGAACAAAAACAAGCAGAAAACACATTTTTAAATGAGATTCTTTGATCTCGGATTTGATTGTGGGATTTTTTTTTCCATGTTTCATTTAGTATTTATTAGCATCATACCTGTTCGAGATATTTTTGTGGCTGGTACATTAACAGCATTTTGTATTTTGATGGAAATTGTTACAAACTTTAAGATTTGATTAAATAAAATGTAGCAGATTTTTTGTAGCAAGTTTCTGATAAAAGGGTTTTTTGCAAGTCTCAGGTTCTTGCTGCAGAATTTTTTAAAAATATTTATTCCAGTTTCACTTACTCAAAGAAGTTTTTGTTCAAGTAACAGCAGCACTTGTGGAAGATAAAACTGCATACGTTTTTAAGAAGATAATAAATTTATATTAAATAAAACAGTTGAGAATTCTAGTCACCAGTGAGTTTGAAAAACAAAGCTAATGCCTAGCATTAAAAAATGATTCTGAAAGGTCACCTTTCTAAAGAAAAATTTTTACTGTCGGTTGATGATTGGAAAAAATCTTAGGCAACTTTACTAATTGAGGAGCTACCATGTTGTTCTTAGAGAAAAGTAGCCAGTTTCAAATGTTTTAGTGGACAACTTGCATAAAACAATATATGCGCCTTCCTAGTCCAAATAACCACAGTTCGGTTTTATTTTCCTTTGCAGATGTCTGGTGGTTATAGAGTCAAAGCAGCTGTTAATCTATCCACGTGGTCTAAAAACTTGTTTACTCTTTGTACGTTTTGGATTTTTGTTTGCCATATAGCACTGGCAAGAGTCTGTACAAATTGACCTCACTTGCATAAAACAATATATGCGCCTTCCTAGTCCAAATAACCACAGTTCGGTTTTATTTTCCTTTGCAGATGTCTGGTGGTTATAGAGTCAAAGCAGCTGTTAATCTATCCACGTGGTCTAAAAACTTGTTTACTCTTTGTACGTTTTGGATTTTTGTTTGCCATATAGCACTGGCAAGAGTCTGTACAAATTGACCTCTCTCCCTTGTTTCTTGTTGTGAAAAAATTGCAAATAAAGCGGGGGGTGAGTCCTGGATGCTGGGGCTGCTGGAGGGCGCCCGCCGGGAGCAGGGGCCTCCGTTTTTTTGAGGCACCGGAGCTGCTCCCGGCTGGGGACGGTGGCTGTGGAGTTGGTTGATTGTATTTGCAAGCTTGAATCTCACCTGTGATTTTTTGTTTCGTGTCCTCTGTATTGTTACTTGATTTCTTCATATGCCAATGTATTTATAGGATTACTGTTTTTCTGTTGTTGATTTTTTTTTTTTTTTTAATATCCTGTCTTCCTTATTTTTTTTTTATTAAGTTGGTTGTCAGCTCTGGTTTTACCTTCAGTCTTTTGAATGGCAGGTCCTGCAGCTGATAGTCATTTGGGTTTTTTTGTTTGTTTGTTTTGTTTTTATTTTGTTGGCAATCACAATATAAGCTTGAATTTGGGCTTGTACTTGCATCTTTTGTATCTTGTACATTGGGTTATTTAGACATTGGGGAGTCCTGTTTGGTTTCATTAATGTGTGTCTACTTTGTGGGTTAAGTAGACTTCCTTCATCGACTATGGTATATTTTGGATTCTATAGTTTTATTCAGAACTGTGTTTAAATTGATGTTTTGCATTTTGACTTCATTTTACACTAGTTTGGAGTAAGTTATTTAATTTTTTTGAACTTCTGGAAATTTTGAACATTTTACTGTAATTTGTAATATAACTGCTGTGAAATACTTGAATAAAGATGACAAGAAAACACAGCCTTAGCTCCTTTAAAGACATTGTTGTATTTAAATGAAATGCTACCTTGTAGCCAATTTCAGTCTCTTGCTAACCAGATTTCTTCGATTTTTGCAGCTGACACGTTTTAGTCTGGGATCTTGCTCCCGAGCAGTTTTAATCTGTGTTTGCTTTCCGTGTCTGGCCCTTAAAGAAAAATACATCTCTGATTAATTTTGGCTGGAGTGAAATTTGCATTGTGCATTAACAAGTAAATAACTTAATAACATTTATGCTCTCTGCTTAGGAAATGTTTCCTGTTTAACTGGACCACCAGGACTGCTTGTGGGATGTCAGCATCCAGTATCTGATTCTTTCATTTCAGTATTTTTAAGATAAAACCTTTCAAGAAAAGGTTTTTAAGAAAACCTTCTGATCTTGTATGTTTTTTTTCCTACTTTTTTTGGTGGATTCTTCAAGATAAAACCTTTCAAGAAAAGGTTTTAAGAAAACCTTCTGATCTTGTATTTTTTTCCTACTTTTTTGGTGGATTCTTTAAAGATAAATTTCTAATATATCTAGGACTTGCTTTTTTTGCTAGTTTTGTGGGATTTTTTTCTTCTCTAACGTATGCATAGGAGGACAAGCTGCTATAGGTTATGCAAGCTGAGATCATCAGCCCCCATCTTCCTCCTGTGAGAGCGCTTTTGGCAACTCGTCGAGCTAGCAAATGGCACGTAATTTCTGTAACGTGGAGCAGAGTGTGGCAAGCTGTTCCAGAGATCTGGCTGGTCTCTGCTGAGGTGGAGGACATATGGTGCTCTTGGTCCTTTTCCTCTTTTCCTCCCTGTGTTTTCTAAACTAGAGCGCTCGTGGGCAAAAGGGTAGTTAAGTAGCTTGTTTCAGGTCCTGTTGCCGTTCTCCTTTGGCAATGGCAGCTCTAAAAGCACAGTTAGATGTTCAATAAAAATCTATACGCCAAAAAACAGTTGGGATAAAGGAGCTCGTGTTGTCATCTCACTTCTGGTTGTTCTCATCCAAATGGCAGGCCTGACCGCGTCTGAGAGGGTAGAGGAAAGAGGGCAGGACGTGAGGTTTGTTGGGTCCATGCCCATCCTTCAAGAATGGGGATGAAACTGGGAGGTTAGACCTAACTTCTCTCACTGGCTGTAAAAATAATCAGTCATGAGGACTGTTCTCCACTGGATCTTGAGTGGGCTTTGCAAGTCATGTGTGAACATGCTTGATGGAAGGCTAGGTGAACAGGATGAGTTGGTGTTGGTTTGGTTGCATCGGGGTGTTCAGAGAGCTTCAGGAAACGCTTGTGCAGTGCCCAGGTTCAGGTGATCACTGCCCAAGGCCGCGTTCTCCTGCTGTTGCTTCCCTTGAACAAAACTTTCCATGGAGCTTCCTGCTCTTCCTTGACTTTGAGGTACTGCCCATCCCCTGCTTCCTCCCTTAAGGCCTTCAGATAATTTATTTAAATAAAAACGAGATCATTTTGTTCTGTGTGGCAGGCTGGGTTGAGACCGTTTTCTCCTGCTCTTGGTTTCTACTTGGAAAATTTTGGATCAGGACTTGTCGTATTTGGGGTTTAAATTAGCACAACATGAGAAGAAAATTCTGAAAGCCGAATCAGTAAACCAAAAAACCAGGCAATGAAGCCAAGTACTTCATTTGTCTTCCCTTTTTATGTATCAGTTGTCATCTAACTGTCAAGTAGTGTTAAAGTTTATAATCCCCAATTTCTAATTAATTCGGCCTCATTCCATTTTTAGTTATTTTTTGTACAGTGTCATCGTTTGCATGGGGAATATATTTCAGTTTAACTCAGTGCCAATAAAAGGCTGTGACAGCTACTAAATTTTGCTTATCTTAAGAATATAGTTGACTTAGGCTATATTGAGCCCTACTTTAGTAGTAGGAAAAATCCTTGAGTTTTTTTTTTTTTTTTAATGTGATAATTAAGATTTAAAATCCCTTTACTGCCTCCAGGGGGATGCCAGTGTAAAACTGGCCGTCCTGCTAAGACTTGCGTATGCTTGGCTGCTAATTTGGGATAAAACTCTTTGAATTCTGAGTTCTGCTCGCATTTAGTTACTCAAGAAAAGGTAATACTTGGTGCATTAACAAGCCTTCAGGCAGAGAGGTGATATTTCATTAACGAGCAGCATTCAGGCTGTGGGAGCCCATTTTCCTCCTTTGCCAGGAGAAGGTTGACCAAACCAGGAAGGTCTATTGGTCAATGGCCATATATAGACCTATGTTAGCAGGGTGGAAGGTGGTCTGGGGCAGGTGGAGTATAGAAGAACACTTCTCTGCTTCACTTGAAGCTGTGGCATCAGTGATAATGCTCAGACTTGGTGTCATCTGCTTTTTGTGGAGCCGGATTATATTGTGGTGACTGGTGTGAAAGCCTTTCCCTTCAGTGTGAATTGAAATTTGAACTGTCATTAATCTGAAGATGTTTGACTGGGTGTCAGTATGGAAGTCCAAGTCTGTACAGAACCAGGCAACTTTTGAGCTTTGGGAATCTCCATCTGAAGGAAAGAAACATTTGGAGAAGTTTCGAGAGGGCTCTTATGAAACATTCCTCTAGCAAAGGGCTTAAGGCAGTTTGCTAAGACGTGGAGTTGCTCTGCTATTGAAAGATGACAAATAGTAGCTCTATTTTGGTCATAAAGATCTTGTGTTCTCTTGCAGACTAGGTTGTGGCCTGGAGGATACTTCGTGTACGTGGATATCCACCTTGAAAAATGGTGAGATCTGATTTTGGTGATGGGGAAGGGCAAATTGCCAGTCAGCTCTAGGGTTTTTCTTTTTTTATTATTGAATAGAGTTGTAAATAATGCTTTAAGTAATGCCTTGTCTGTTCTCTCTGCCAGCATAAAAAGTTCAGCAAGGTGAAGAGAATGTGACATGAATAGCCACATATTGTCCCTGATTATTGAAGATCATCAGTTGAGTAATAAATAGCTATCTTGTGTAGACGTTTTAAGTATCAGAAATAAAAGCATAGGGCTACATTTTCTTGGACTGCATGTTCATCAATAGGGCTATGTTTTCATGGAGTATTGGAGGTTTAAAATTAATGGCTAGCCCTATACCAGACTTAGGGTGTTTCAGGCCTTGCTCTCAAATTTAGTTCCATGTTTAGTTTAGCTGGATGGCAGAGAGTGTTTTATTTATTCTAAATGCTTCCCACAAAATGTAGAAAACCAGGAAAGCACACACTGAGCATAAATGTTACAACATTCATCTTTCCAGTACATGAGAATAAATTTTGGATATGGAGACTTTTCTGTTAACTTTTTCTCTTGACACCTAAGGGCGAATTGAGTATTTACAGGTTTGTCACTAAGTCAGGTTTATTCCCAGAGTTCAGCGCCAGAAGAGAAACATGGTCTTGTTCAAACTGATGCTGTGGGACACAGGACTGAACCTCATGCACATCCAGAGGCTACTACCTTGGCTGGCCAGTCTTCAAGAACGGGAGGTAGTCTTGACGTGGAGGAGAGCACGTCTACCCTGTTTGAGCTACTGATGGAGCAGTTAAGCTCGCTGGCAGTGACTTATTCCTCATTGTTTTTTTTTCTTGTCCAGCTTCTACTTCCAGACGCTGCTTCTTGCTTTGTCTTTCTGCTCTAGATTAAAGAGACTTCTCATACGTGGGTTGCCCCCTCCCCTCCAAGACACTAATGCACTGTGATCAAGTAGCCTCTCAGTCTTCTTTTTGTTGAGCAAAATGAGCTCTTCATGGCTTTCACTGCATTTTCTCCAGCCTTTAAGTCAATTTTGTGGCTCTTTTCTGTAGTAGGTCAATTTTTCACCATCTCTTAAAACATTTGTTCACAGTGGAAATTGATGTGATATTCCAGCATTGGTCCCACCAGTGCCATATATAGAGCTAAAAATCACTGACTCCTGCTCGCTGTTCTCCTTTTTACACATCCAAGGATCAATTTAGCCCTTTGGTGCTGTGATACTGGACAGGGAGCTCTTGTTGCTCAACTTCAGACTTGCAGTTTTTCACGGAGCGGTTCTCCATCCTGAACATCAGCATTCCTTGTTCCCAACTCCGAGGGTCCCTTTCCTTTTGTTAAAAGAAACTTTGTTCTAATAGTCCCAAATAGGTAGCAAAGAGGCCAACATGATATGTATGAATTGTGCTAGTTATTCTGCTCTATTAATCTTTATTTTCTACGAGTTTAGTAGTCATGGTTTATGTCAGCGTTTTCCTTTTGGCATGTTGGAAGGAGAGGATCCTCTCAAAGCCCCCTCTGGAAATACTCTGGTAATACCAAGGTGGGGAT